AACCCGGGGCAGGCCCAAGCCTAGCCATGTGCCCCAGCGCTAAGAACACGGAGGGCCCTGTTCGAGCTGAGCGTGGGCACCGGGGACCGAGGAGCAGGGCCTAGACCTTCCCCTTCCTCCTGAGCGCCCCGGGGGGGCTGGGCTGGGCTGGGGGCGCCCCGTCTCGGCTTTGGGGAGGTGAGTCCCACCGAGCAGCCCCGGCCCGGCCGCCCTTCTCTGACTCGCGCGCCCCGAGCGCGGTCCGCATCATACCTCCGGTCGCCCTGCCGCCCCGGGCCCGAAAGTTCCGCCCTCCGCCCTTGCCCGGGCCCCCTCACCGCACTCTCGGGCGAGCCTGGAGACGCCGGGATCAAACCGCTCACCGCCTCTTCCGTGCGCGGGGCTGTCAGCTGAGCGGGGCGGAGCCGGGACGTGGGGCGGAGCCGGGACGGGGCCGGAGGCGGGTCGGGGGGCGGAGCCGCCGTGGGACAGCTTTACGCAGCCGCCCCGGGCCCTCGCCGACCCCCGCAGGCCATAGTTAGCACTGCACGCACGACCACCGTCAGCCCACCACTGCCGGGCAAACTTCAGTATGATTCTAGACCACCTGATGCTAATGCAGCCCACTCGTGCTCAGCGGGCTCCTTTCAGTGGTTCTGGATGGGGCCCGGGAATTAGAATTTGTACCAATCCCTAGAGGTGATCATGAGGCAGCAGTCTACCTGGGGCAGAGAATCCCATAAAAATCCCAGACCTGCTCTTCCAGGTGGACTAAGCAAGCCTCTTCCCCAGATCTGAACTAGCTTCTTAGAAATGCTGCCCGTCCTTCTGGCATCTCCACTATGAAAGAATTCACTCTTTGTTCATATTATAACAGTAATAACGATCACATTCACTGAACGGTTGAGGGCTTCAAGCACTGTGCTAACTGCTTTACGTACATTTTACCTTCACTTTATGATTTTGGTACCATTTCCTATTCCCTCTTGACAAATGAGGAAATGAGACTGAGGCTCAAGAACTTCACAAAGGTCACATGATTAGTCAGAAGCTGAGCGGGAATTACAATTATATGCCCCCTACCTCACACCATATACAGAAATAAACTAAAAGATGGTTCAAGTACAGAAATGTCTTTACTTTCATTTATTTATTTAGTAGCTGGCAAGTACAGGGATTGGCCCCTGGACCTTGGTGTTATCAGGACCACGTTCTACCCAACTGAGATAACCAGCCNAGCTCAATTGGTTAGAGTGCAGACTTATAACCCAAGGTCATTTGTTCGGATCCTTGTACTGGCCAGGTGCCAGAAAATAAATAATAAATTAATTTTAAAAGATGACACCATGAGAAACCACTTCACACTAGGATGGCTAAAACAAAGAAGAGATAATGACAAATGTTGAAAAGGATGTAGAGAAACTGGAACCTTCATATACTGCTGATGGGACTGTAAAATGCCACAGCCACTATGGAGAACAGTTTGGCAGGTCCTTCAAATTTAGTCATAGAGTTCCTAGAAGACCCAGCAGTTCTACTCTTAGGTATATACCCAAGGGGACTGATAACATATGTTTGCACAAAAACTGGCACACAAGTGTTCATAGCAGTAGTATTCACAATAGTCAAAAAGTAGAAACCACCCAAAGGCTGTCAATGAATGGATGGATAGAAAAAAGTGGTATATTCATACAATGGATTAGTATGCAGCTACAAAAAGTAATGAAGTCCTAATACATGCTACAATATGAATGAATCCTGAAAACATCATGCTAAGTGAAAGAAGTCAGATACAAAAGGCCACATACTGTATTTTTCCATTTATATGAAATGTCCAGAATAGGTAAATCCATAGAGACAGAAAATACATTAGTGGTTGCTAGCAACCTGTCCAGTCACACAGGGCCCTGCACTTAAAAGGGCCCCAGGCTTAGAAGGGCTCCCCTTTGATGCTCTGCTCTTCTCATCTGGAAATTCTCAGTATTTTCTCAACGAGATGCTCTGCATCTATTTTGCCCTGGGTTCTGGAATTATGCATATGGTCCTGCATCCAGGAGAGAGGAAAAACAAAGTGGGTAAATTGGCCCCCAAGAGGCTTACCTGGCTGCCACAAAGGGAAAATTTGAAATACAAATAATCACTCCTAATTTTCTATACTGTAAATGTTGATTGTCACAGAACAGAAACCTAACCACCCCTGTAATAGATACACAAACCAGAAACATATGCCATAAATATGCAAAAATCAATTGGTTACAACACAGCCTTATAACATCAATGTCACAGTTTCAGGTTCCTATACCAGCCAGATGCCAAAAAATAAAAATAAACAAATAAGTAAATGAAAATGCCAAAGAACGAAGAAGCCATTCACTAATATCATTATTCATGTTTGGCCAAAGGACTAAAACCAAGAGCAAAACACAACAGCAATCCTACCTCTGAGTGCTCAGAGAGGTGAGACCAGAGACCTCTCCAATGCAAAAAAGGGAGAAAGCCCAATCGCCGGCTTGGGAAATTCTCACAAAGTTGTATCAGGAGGTGAATTGTGACATCACGTCATGACCCCATGTCAGAGGCCACAGAATAGAGAGAATAGGAGAATTTCAAAGAACTGTGAATAATTTGGTGAATTTCAAAAATGGAATACACATTCTATAGTCCTCCTTTGAGTATGGGATTGCATAGACTCTAACTTTTGTTTTTAGACTCCATGACTCTTACATATCTTGCTGTGTAACAGAGAAATGAAAAAGATTACTCAAAGCAACATGAATGAAATGAGAAGCCCAAACGGACTGCACCTCAGCAACTTCTCGGTTATAAGGAGAAACTGGGTACAGCCCTGAGTCGGGTTCTGCTTCAGTTTTTATTGTAAAGACAAGGGAATTATAGACAAAGAAAAAATGGTTAATCAATTAAAGTAAGAACATAAGGAAATTGGGTATGTAACAATCTTCATCCAAGCATGCATGATTCAAAATTGTTTAAACAATATGCCATCAAAAGACTCATAAATCTAAGCTATGTGACATGCAAAAGAAACAATAAGATAATCATTAAAGTGCCTGACTTCTTGAGAAACTCAAAGAAACAGCTTAAAGCAACATTTAGAACAACCCCTATGTACTAACTAATCTAGCAAAATGTCCTTGGAAATCTTAACTCACATATTTTCCCATCATTTTAGTTTTGTCATATTAAGGGTTATTGCCCTCAGAACAATCCCTGTTTTGTTTCAGTTCTCTTGTTCACATTAAAGGCTTTAGACCTGTGTAAGTTTCCTTCTCACAAAATCTTCCAGTGAGCCCATTATATTAACAATCGGTGTATGTAATCCCTTACCTAAATAGGGATTAGAATTGATTCAGTGGGCTCTTGTCCCAAGCTATAAGCTCTTCCCTCTTATCAGAGGACTTTTTTCTCATACATGCATTACCTAAAAACCGTATCTAATAATCAAATAGGGATCAAGATTTCTAATCCTCTACATTTCCCCCCTTTAAATTATTAAAAAGAATCAGAAGAAATCAAGGAATTGGAGTCAATGGTGGAAACAAAGACTTTTGATGAAGAAGAGTCAGCATTACTTCAGCTCAACGTGTCTGTTGGAACATGGAAAATAATAGTTTAGGGGCCGGCCCGGTGGCGCACTGCTACAGTGCGCCGCTTGGGAGCGCGGCGGCGCTCCTGCCGAGGGTTCGGATCCCACATACAGACCGGTTCCCGCTCACTGGCTGAGCGAGGTGCGGGCGCGACACTGAGGGTTGCGATCCGTTGCCGGACACGAAAAAAGACAAAAAAAAAAAAGAAAATAATAGTTTAGTCACTATAAAAAAAACATAAAACACATAAGATACTAATTCCAGCAATAATCCAAATTCTTATGTTTAAACCAGAAAACCAATTGGTCATGTTAAGCCAAATTATTTAAATGATCAATAGTAATTTGTTGAGCTTCTTCTTGAAGCTGTGTCATTTCTTGTAGAAGTTGAATTTTCAAGTTTTGAATAGCTCCATGTAAGTCAGAATGAAGGGCTCCGTGTAACATTTTTTTGTACATCCTCCTAAGAGGTGAAGGAATTAAAGAAAGGGAAGTGACACACATGAAGCTATATCCTGCATCACAATTAAGTTGATTCTGAGTCCAGAGAGCTTGTTGGTGTTCACCAATCCAAAACATAGCTGCCTCTAAATCATCTAATCTTTGTAGAATTTCTTGGTCAATTTTAGTTTGAGATGAAAGCTCAGAGGTTACATTTTGAAAATGATCATTTATTGTCTGTGCTGTTTGAATAGATTGAGTTAAAGTGACAATGGCAGTTGCCACTGTGGCAGCAATAGCTGTGGCTGCAATTACAGAAGCAATGAGAATACCCAAAACCTCTTAGGGCAAGCTCATTCAAGAGCAGAAGTGACATGTTCTAAAGCTGAATTTCCCATCCATTGTCGTGTAAGGTTAACAGGTAGCCAAGCTTCAGCTGTTTGTTTTAATATGAGAACATATGATATAGTAAGAGTAGTAATATTAAATGAGTGATGCAAGGAGTGAACCAAGCAAAATTAGCCAGAAGGGTAATATTAAATTCTGAAGTAAAGGAAAAAGACAAATTTGTAGATAACATAGCAAATATATAAGGATGAGAAGTACAAATCATAACTGAATTGACATGGTCTTGAGCTACCCAACGTAATTTATAATTGGTAATTTGAAATTGTCCTTGTCTCACTATGCGAGGGAAGAATGGGATAGCAAGATGCCAAATCGTCTTTTTAAGAAGGGAATAATAAGTAACATGTTTTAATCTTAAAATTGGACCAGCCAAACCTGGATTCCATTTATAAAGGGATCCGGAATAATTGAAAGAAAGAGTGTAATTCCAAGTAGTGTTGGAATGAAGTACTAATAAGTTTTGTGGTCCTCGATTTTTTAATGTTAAATTATTAATTTTTTTTTAGTAAAATTGATGGAACAACAAGAAACCCAATCCAGATCTCTACCATCTTTTATGGAAACCCAGGGATGGGAACAGATAGGAACATTAGGCTTAGGATGATCTTTCCCATGTCGAAAAACTCCTAGAACTCTGGTGGTAGAAATAAACAGTTGACGTTTTATAGCCAAAAGATGATCAGGGCTTTTTATTATATAACTCATACATCATTGAGAAGAAAAAGGGATGCATAACTCATTATTGGTCCAAGTGCGTGTAATACAAATGGGCAATTTGTCAGTGAGAAAATACCAATCATGGGCAAATTTATGCATCCTGCATTGTATGTTAACTTATAGCAGGATTGTCCGCAGTCTTCAAGAGGACCTGAGGGAGGAAGCCAGTTACCTCCCATATAAGCAGTATCATTAGAAGAAAGAGG